GCTGAGCAGGGAGCCCCATGCGGGGATCGATCCCAGGACCCCGAGATCATGACCTGAGCCGAAGGCAGACGCTTAACGACTGAGCCACCCAGGCGCCCCATATTCTTTCCTAATCTTCCATTTGCAGTGCTTCAGCATATAGGCCTGTCTTGCTGTTTTGGGGTCAGGCTTACACCAAATCCCAAGAGGGGCACGTGTGGCCACGGAACCATCTGCATGTGAATGACTAGAAGTCCCTACTCTGGTCACTTAGGGCATCCATACCTCATGAGCTTCTAGCTCTGGCTTCTGCTCAGAATCAAGCCAGTATCTGTTCCATTAGGCAAAGCAAGTCTCAGCCAAAACAAAGAACAGCCTGAAGGAGGTGGGGAAATAGGGGATTTTGCAGGTGTTCACACTCCAGTCCCCTGACCAAGAAAGGTTTGGTAAGAAGGGCTCGGGGGTACCTGGCTGGCACAGTCAGTAGATCATGTGACTCTAGATCTCACCTGAGTTCAATCTCCATGATGAGTGTAAAGCTTGGTTCTTTAAAAAAAAGATTAAAGAAAAAGGGCTCAGACCTCAGAGGTTCTAGTCAGCACAAGCTGCATACCTTAACTTTATGGTGGCGATGGCTGGTTGTAAGGCAAGGGGTCGGGAGGAGGCTAAAGGATATGAAGAAGAGGGTGAGGGCAGCCTCAGCCTGAGGGAGTAGGGATTTAGGTAGCAGGTGGCTGAGACTGCACCACAGCCACATGGCATAGAGCGAAGGCGCCATTTGAAACGCCCAAATCCTGAGTGGGGGGCTGTTGATAGGGTGAGGTGGAGATAGGGTGTGTCTGTGGTTACTGTCGGGCGCTTGCACCCTTCAACCCCACCACTATAAAGTTGATGGACCCAACCAGCAAACCCCCGGTTCATAGACCGACAGTATCACTCAGCGGTGGGTGGGCCAGGCTCCACCCAACTCTGGGCTATTATTGGTCAAACTAAGAAAAAAACCGCGTGTGATAACTAGCAGCCTCCTTCGGGTTGGTTGATTCCTGCGAGCTCTCAAGTCAATCAAAATAGAATATACCTCACTCCTTCCCATTCTCTGGCTTCCGGGGGAGCCAGGTTAGGCAACAGATGCAAACTGTGTCACTGTTTCTGAGATCTCCACACAATAACATCTCCTGCTTTCCTCTGCGGCCGCCTTCAACAAACGTGTTATTTCAATGAATGAAAATGCGCTATTTTTTTTTTTCTACAAAGCGAGTTGTTTCACGGGTATAATGTGAGAAGTGTGCGTTTAGGCGGTGAGGCGCGAAGCTGGCGAAGATGCCCTGTTCTGCTCGCCAATCCTCTAAACCAGCAAAGATTCAGTACTCACTCCCACTATCCAGGAAGCGACCATCTCGGGTTTCCAGCGGCCAGAAGGAAGTTTGAGTGATTTCTGGCCCCTCGCGGCCCCTGTAGCGTCCCTAGTTACTAGGCCCCTAGTAACCGCCCGCCCCAAGCCAGGAGCCGCCGGGTGGCCTGAGTAGGCGCCAGCTTCCCCGCCCCGAGCCAGCGCGGGCGCTCAGGCCTCGGCGGCGCGCTGATGGCCGCCTCGCACCGAGCGGCGAAGCTGGAGGCCTCCAGTCTCCAGACCCCGGAAAATCCCAGCACCGGAGCGCAGATCGCCCAGTACGAACGCGAAGACCTTTTAGAGGCCTTGGCGGCGGGGGCGGTGGCTGCGGCCTTAGAGGAGGAGGAAGAAGACGAAGAGAAGGAGAAGGCGGTGCTGCCGGCGCGGGCGCGGGTAATGCAGGGGCGGCTCGTAGGCTGGGGCTGGGTGTCCGCCGGGTGCTGGCTGAGGGCTGGTCCGCGTCCCCGCTGGGCTGAGGGACCGGCTGGGAAACGCGGCGCCCTGTCCAGCTCCTCCCTACCCAGTAAACCTGGCCCACCACCTTCTCTCTGCCCCACCGAAGAGCCTCAAAACCGAGGCGTTGGAAAATCTTTTAATTTTTAACAAAGAGATTGTAAAAATTTCTTGGAGAGCATTTATTTCTAGGGAGTATAAAGTACAGAAGTTTACTCCTTTTGCTCCAGCATCTGTTGGAAGTAGTTACTGCTTTTTCTTTTCAACTTGGGAAAAACTGATGTTGATATAGCCCATAGTGGATAGCCCATAAAACTCAGGTGAATCAACTGTGCTGTCGGCTGTGGTTTATTGTCACCTTAAAGTCTTGGTTAGTGCATTTTAACACAACATTGTACATGAGAGGCGGTGTTTAAAATCGTTTAAGAGTTCAGTGGGCAGATCATACACAGATTAAAGTTAAACATCCAGAGAAGCAAATTACTGAGGTTCCAATTTCCTAAACAACTCTTCAGGGTGAGAAAGCCTTTTCACTGATCAATTTTCAGTGTCAAATGTGTCGTGAACACCTGCGCATCAGGTAGAGGGCTGAGTCTGCCATCTACTCTATTCACTTAAAAGATGGGAACAGTGAATTTTAACTAGCAGTGTGCAGACACAAACCTCCTTACCCCCAGTTAAAGATTCTTTTTTTTTTTTTTTTTTTAAGATTTTATTTATTTATTTGACAGAGAGAGAGAGAGCACAAGCAGGGGGAGCTACAGGCAGAGGCAGAGGGAGAAACAGACTCCCCGCTGAGCAGGGAGCCTGAAGCGGGGCTTGATCCCAGGACCCTGGGATCAGGACCTGAGCTGAAGGCAGACGCTTAACCAACTGAGCCACCCCGGCGCCCCTCAGTTAAAGATTCTTAATACCATTTGTCCAAAGCTTTTCTGATACAAAACACTGTGGTCTGTGGCTAATAAAATCACTGGATATTTTGGAATTCTAACCATTTTACACTAAAACTGTTAATGAGAAAATCTGTAGCAACTCTTTTATGGTCAGTATTTCACCAACAGACAAACACCTTCAGGTTCTCCAGAGTAAGGCAGATTGAGACCCTGAAAATGAACCAGGGTCAGAGTCCTGGGAACAGTTTCATTCATGATAAAGTTTCTCCACAACACAAATCTCAGTACCCGATAAAGGAGGCAAAGTGATAGAGGAAAAAGATTTGAATGGAGGAAGAGGATTGGGAGCCTTGGATTAGGATCCATTCTCTGCCATTTGCTAGGTGATATTAAGATGTAACTTTCTTCAATTTCATTTTCCTTATATGTAAAAGAACTATAATAAATGTCTCTCTTGTCTCACTGGGATATTAGGAGAACCAAATGAGAAAATGTGTGTCATATCTAAAGAACAGTTTATATAAATTCGTAATAATAATAACAACTGCCAGTGAGACTGTCATTTGAACAACTCACCCAAAGATTAAATAAATCTCCTTTGGCTTGCTGCACTAGAGGAGTCCGTCATTTCTGTAGTGACAGGCATACTTCCAGAGTGCCCTGCTAAACTGCAAATTTGTATTAGAAATTTAGTACCTTAGGAGACATTAGTTTATCTAATAAGCTAGTTTTAAAGAGACAGGATCCTACCAAGCAAACAAAAGGGAGCTAAGTCTTATGGGTTTGACAGTGTTCTTAAGACTTACTACACTTGGAGGATCCACAAGCAAACCTGGATGAGCTGCCGCAGTAGACCTGATAGAGGGTACTGGTTGGAGGAAGAAGCCCTGAAAAGGCAGGAAAGGGTGCAGGAGCCAAGCTTGTCTTCTTCCCAGTTTGTCTTGGGTCTCTACCTTGATATTCATTTTTTTATTTTTTATTTTTTTATTTTTTAAAGATTTTATTTATTTGACACAGAGAGAGAGCACAAGTAGGCAGAGCTGCAGGCAGTGGGGAGAGGGAGAAGCAGGCTCCCTGCCGAGCAGGGACCCCGAAGCGGGGCTTGATCCCAGGAACCCTGGGATCATGACCTGAGCTGAAGGCAGACACTTAACTGACTGAGCCACCCAGGCGCCCCTCTGCCTTGTTTTTTAAAGATTAATTTGTCTCAACTTTGTCATCTATAAAATGTAGTAAGCTCAGATACTATATGCACCACACAAGACTGATTAGAGGGGCGCCTGGGTGGCTCAGTTGGTTAAGTGTCCGACTCCTGATTTCAGCTCAGGCCTTGATCTCAGGTCTTGATCTCAGGGTTGTGAATTCAAGCCCCATGCTGGGTTCCACACTGGGCATGGAGCCTACTTAAAAAAAAAAAAAAAAGACTGATTACAGAAAACCAACTGTCACAGTAGGCTCCTTTCAGTCCTTTGGTTTGCCAAAACCAACCCCATCCCCCTCTTGAACACACCCTTTGCAGGACTCTGAGCCCATACTGGGCTCTGAGGCATGTTCCTTGAATCTAGCCTCAGTTGAAGATAGCACTCCATAGGCCTTGTTACGTGGTTGATGATAACATGGGTGAAGCAATATTCTTTAATTCACAGTTAAAGTTTCACTGACTTTCCTAATGGGGTAACCTTTTTCAACAAATATCAAGCAGTTATTAAGTGCTAGTTACTGACTGTTCATTCAGTTGTGAGTGAAGCAGAAAGAGAGCACATCATCACCAAGCTTCCAGTAGGTGGGGAAGTTAGATAATACAAAATGAATAGTCAAATGTTTATAAGATGAGAAATGCTGGGAAAGAAATGAACAGGTTTCTATGATTAAAAAAAGAACTAGCCGGGAACGTACTTAAATGAATTAACATTTAAATCAATGCCTGGTAGATGAGAAAGAGCAACCATCTGAAGACTAGGGGTAGAAAAAACATTCCAGGCAGAGGGAACAGCATGTGCAGAGGCCCTAAGATAGGAAGAGAAATTGCTTTGTGTGATTGAGGATCTGAAAAGAGAGAAGGTGGGGGAGAGAGGAAGGTGTTGGGGAAGGAGACGAGGTCGGAGAGGTCAGCTGGGCCTGATCATTCACGACCTTTAAGATCAAGGTAAGGAGTTTAGTGTTATTGTTGGTACAGGTACAGCAGGAGGTCCTTGAAAACTTTTAAGAGATCTGACATGTTTCTGTTTACATTTTTAAAAGATGACTGATGGCTCTGTGGAGAATGATTGGAGACTTTGACAAAGCAGAAGGAAGGAAATTGGTTAGGAGGCTGTTGCGGTAATTCAGGGGCCAGTGGTGGTGTCTTGGTCCTAGTCCAGGAGAGGTGGCAAGAAGCGGACAGATTTCTTTAGAATGGATAGGACTTACTGTTAGATTGGATGCGAAGGCCAAGGAAGAGGAAGAAATCAAGCATGTTCACTTCCAGTTTTCTGGTTTGACCAGCTGTATGAAAAGTAATGCCATTTACTGAATTGGGGATACCTTGGGGAGGAATAGGTTTACAAGCTGGGTGGGAATCAGGGTTTCAGTTTTTTGGGTTTTTTGTTTTGTTTTTTCTTTTAAAGATTTATTTATTTTAGAGAGAACATGAGCAGGAGGGGGAGAGGGAGAGAGAATCTCAAGCAAACTCCGCGCTGAGCATGAAGCTGAAGCAGGGCTTGATCTCACGACCCTGAGATCAGGACCTGAGCCAAAACAAGAGTCAGACACTCAACCAACTGTGCCACCCAGGCGACCCAGGGTTTCAGTTTTGAACATGGTAAATTTGAGATGTCTGTAAAACTACCAAGTGGAAATATGTAGGAAGGAGTTGGGCCTAGGGTCTGGACTATAGACTTCTATCTGGGAGTGTCCTGGGGTCTGGACTCCTGGGGTCTGGACTATAGACTTCTATCTGGGAGTGTCCAGCATTTTTAAGACAATGGGAATGGATGAAGTCATTTATGCAGAGAGTGTAGAGAATGAAGAGAAAGGGCCTAATAGAGAACTCTGAAGAACCTAGCTTTTAAGGGATGTCTGGCTGGCTCAGTAGGTGGAGCATGGGACTTTTGATCTCAGAGTCCTGAGTTCAGGCACCACGTTGGGTGTGGAGCCTACTTAAAAATATATATTTTTTTAATAAAAAAAAAAAAGGTGCCTGGGTGGCTTAGTCGACAGAGTGTCTGACTCTTAGACTCAGCAGGGAGTCGGCTTGAGATTCTCTCCTCCTCCCTCTGCTCCTCTACCACTCGCTTACGCTCACACTCTCTCTAAAATAAATAAATAAATCTAAAAAAAAAAAAAAAAAGAACCTAGTGTTTAATAGTCAGGTAGAGAGGGGTGCCTAGGTAGCTCAGTCGTTAAGCATCTGCCTCCTCAGGTCATGATCCCAGGGCCCTGGGATCCAGTCCCACATCGGGCTCCCTGCTCAGTGGGAAGCCTGCTTCTCCCTCTCCCACTCCCCCTGCTTGTGCTGTGTCTCTCTCTGTCAAACAGATAAAATCTTTAAAAATAAATAAATAAATAAAATAAAATTTCAAATGCTACAAGGGTGCCTGGCTGGCTCAATCAGTAGAGTATGTGACTCTTGATCTTGGGGTTGTGAGTTTGAGCCCATTTTGGGTGTAGAGATTACTTAACATCTTAATTTCAAATGCTACAAATAAGGCACACCCCTTTTAACACTTCTCCCCCCAGAAAGAAAATCTGACACCCCCCCCAACCCCCCCCACTGGTAGCCACTGTTCTGAAACCAGTATATAGTCTTCTGGGTTTTTTTCTATTTCCTGTGTACATAATATTTTAATATATGGTCACATTTTATATATACGTATTATTCTGCAGCTTGTATTTTCTCTTACATTTATTGGGGGGGTTATCCATGTTAGTATATGTATCTACCTTATTCCTTAGAATCTTTTCAATGCAAAGAAGTTTTTAAATAAAAATTCCAGAATTGCCGATGATACTACATAGACAAGAACACAAATAATAATGAGTGCTGGTTACTAATGAAGCAACATGTGCTGGAAGGAGTCATTATCTAAATGGGTCAAGCCAATCTAGGGAAGATTATCCTCTAATCTGGTGGCTACATGTACAACAGTCCATAGAAAGCTGACAATTAAAGGGAAAGGGTGCTATTTTAGGTTCTTGGAAAATAATGTCGGCCTATGTTATTTGATATACTAAATATTTTCTTCTGTGTGGATATAATTAAAGGTGACATTAGAATTGGAAGTTGCTTATTAACCATTCACCTGTTTTAGATAAAACACTGAGAGATCACTTTATCTGAAAAATTAAAAGTATTAAGCTGAAATGGAATGGATACTGTGCAAAAGTCAGTGCCTAAGTTTTTTGATACCTGCACCATCTCGTCAGAAGCTACTCATCCTTCTATAACTTTTTCAGTTTTTCCAGGTCCAAATACATTTTATCCTTTTTGTGAAAATGATTGTTATAAGGCCTCCTTTTAAGTGATGTTCTAAAAGAATGAATGAAGAGCATATGGATGCTTTTGCCAAAAATAGTTCTTTGGAATATCCTCCTGGTTTTAATTGTAGTTTTTGGAAAATAATCCCTTTCCTTAATACTGAGTAGAATATAGCTCTTTAGGGCAGCCAGTATTTCTTCAAAAGATTCAGTCCTCTGTGAGGGAATACCTATGTTCTTCCCCCTATGGAAACTTAATATTTTTTTTAGCTTATATTCATTCATCCAACAAATATTTCTTGAGTATTTGCCATTGGCCAAGAACTTTCTAGGCACTGGGAACACAGCCATGAACAAAGCAGACAAATCCTTGTCTTTGTGACACTTCCGTTTTGGTAGGAACAGGCATACAATACACAAATAAGTAAAGTCATGTAGAATGTCAGTTGGTGGTGAGTACTTATGAAAAAAATAAAGCAGAAAAGGGAGGCTGACAATGAGTGGGGGAGAGGTTGTAATTTCGAATCAGGTAGTCAGTGAAGACCTTATTGAGGAGATAACATTTCTTTTTTTTTTTTTTTAAGATTTTATTTATTTATTTTGACAGAGAGAGGGAACACAGGCAGGGGGAGTGGGAGAAGCAGGCTTCCTGCTGAGCAGGGAGCCCGATGCAGGGCTCGGGCCCAGGACCCTGGGATCATGACCTGAGCCGAAGGCAGATGCTTAACGACTGAGCCACCCAGGCGCTCCTGAGAAGGTAACATTTCATTAAGACCTGAAGGAGTGAGCAAGTGGGCCGTGCCAATATCTGGAGGAAGAGCATCCCAGGGAGAGGGAACAGCAAGTGCAAAGGTTCTGACATGGTTTTGCTGATTCTGTGAGCATTGGACAACCCGCAAACTGGAAGCAGCTGCTGCTTCTAGAAGGAACTGCTGCTGCCCAGGGGACGAACCGTTGGTGGGGAGGCTCAAGCAGATAGAGAACTAACAGGAAGGAATAAAGTCCCTTTCTCTTCCAGCCTTGCAGTTTCCCTCTAGTCTTACCTTTGGCAGAGCCTAATGGGGAACAGCTGGCAAAACAGAAACACTGCGCAGAATCCCATCCCCAGCATCACATAGCAGGGGCTAGATGGGTGGCATTGGAGCCAAGAGACAGTAGTTTAACACCTGGCTCACCTACTTTATGTGTCATAAAATTGATGTTCAGAAGGCAAGTGCCCATGTCACATGGCTAAGAAGGGCAGAACCTAGGCTTGAATGAGAATGCTGACACCATGCCTGTAATCTTTCTCCCAAGGCATGACCACGCTCCAAACTGAAAAGTTATTTAACTTCCATACGGGTGTTTATTATTGAAGGGTTATAAGGAAGCTGAAACCAGGTAACCAGTGAGTGGTTGGGAGCCAGTAATTAAATGAGAAATGGGAACCACTTCCTGCTTGCTCCCCAAATTGCTTTATGCATTTTATTCTCCTCTTATCCTGCATCTTTGTGCACCTTGCTCCCCACCATATTGTCCGCCCCAGCTGCTTTTACTAATGTCATTTAGCTTCAACTGGAAGTTTATCTGGAGTATCCTTTTCCTTTTGCCCCCTACACTCTTTCTGACCCCCCAGATTCTTCCATTCTTTGACTCATCTCAAATCATCTCCTCCAGGAAGCCTTCCTTTATCTTCCAAATTCAAACCAAACTAAAGCTCCTTTTGTTTGAATACCCTTGTCACTTGGTCTTTATATCTCTCCTGACCACTTTCTCCTTCATATCAGTCCTCCTCTCCCTGCTTATTTTTTTTTTAATTTTTAAATTTTTTTAAAGATTTTATTTATTTATTTATTTGACAGAGAGAGAGAGAGCACAAGCAGGGGGAGCTACAGGCAGAGGCAGAGGGAGAAACAGACTCCCCGCTGAGCAGGGAGCC